AGATAAGCGAATCCTCTATTCCTTTGCATATTTGTATCAATGTAATTGTGTATTAATCTTTGAGCTGTATGTAATAAATGAGGACATATCAATTTTTTGGTGTATTGCTTTTTAAATGTTGTGGTGATGAAGACAATGTTTGTTTCTCTTTAAATATTTTGTCCTATTTAGGTTTATTTTTTACTGAGAAACTTTTGTCAATTTATTAATTATTATAACTTATGATTATATGCTTATCATAAAATAAATTATATTTATCATAAAAATTATCTTATCTAAACACAATTGTATTTAAAATAAAATGACAAATAGAATATTTTGTATTTGAATCGATCTAAAATCTAAAATTTTGAAGAAATTATGCTTTAAACAATTATAAGGTTATTTAAGTCATTTTTAACAGAAAAAGAGCTTATCAGCATTTTTTCATTAAATACTGCAGCAGCTTATTATCAATTTCAGCACTTATCCAAACACATAACTGCTTATTAATTAAATCAGTTTCAGCACTTAAAAGTACTTTTCAACACCTAATAATTATCAGCTATTTCCAAACGGGCTCAATGTAACCTAATTCGATGGTAGAGAAGCAAATGCAACCCTCTTCTGGAAAAAAGAAGAAGTTAGTTTTCATTTCTGCGAAAACAGCTAAAACACTTTTTGCAAGAACCACTAACATTTTACTTAAACATATGCAACAGCTTATTATCAATTTCAGCACTTATCCAAACACATAACTGCTTATTAATTAAATCAGTTTCAGCACTTAAAAGTACTTTTCAACACCTAATAATTATCAGCTATTTCAAATCAGCTAATCCAAAAGGGCTCAATGTAACCTAATTCGATGGTAGAGAAGCAAATGCAACCCTCTTCTGGAAAAAAGTAGTTTTCATTTCTGCGAAAACAGCTGAAACACACTTTTTGCAAGAACCACTAACATTTTACTTAAACATAAGAAGTTAGTTAATTCATATTTTATCCATACCATCATAACAAGCTTTACTTGTATTTATAACCCTTTTCTCTTTCCTTGTGCTGACATCGAAGTTGCATCTATTGCGTTAACCAAAACATACAATGCGAAAGCCAATGCCAAAAATACTACGACATTCTTATGTTTACAGCTCGTTGTGCATTCAGTAACCACAATAATATAAATAGTTAACTATACATAAAATATAAACCTCTGTAGTTATACATGTTGCTGAATTACCCGTCAACACAAACATATCCAATATTTCATTGCCTCACGATGGGACTAGGCTGCTAAATATGCGTTTTAAGCTGGGACATGCAGCACGTAACCTCCCCATGCTCGGTGGACAAATCTGTTAAAAGTGGCAAAAGGACCATGAGCATATAACAAAATCAATATAGGGCATATTCCTAGCATCAAATGTATTCCTATCAATAGATGATACATAATAAACCAATATGGGACATATTCCTAGCATCCAAAAATATCCCTTACCTTGGGACAAAAGCGTACGTCCAGCGTCTCAAGCATAGTACATCCTGAAATTGCAGCTTCAACAGCTTCCTCGTCGATGTTGCAGGACTATACGGCAACAAGAACAAGAGTCAGGAACACCTCGGCAGCACAATTGCATCACAAAGTATTTTAGTCGCACAAGCACCTAGTGTATAAA